TTCACACTGGAGAGTTGGTCCACGGCTCTGATGGCTTCTTAGAGATAGAGCAGGAAGTACAGGTCGGTGTTAGTTTCCATTTGTAGGATCCGACCGATCCCGGCGTCGGAGATCGTGAATGGGCGGTTGAGGACACTTCTGCAGTGCCTGACCCAGCGCTTCAGAATTTGAGACCTCCGTCGGAATTGTTATTTGGTCAGAGCTGATAAGCGGTGCGGTCCCTACGGCGGTGGGGCCATAGACCATCTTTACAATGCGAAGAATTTCTTTTTTCATTGAAGTTAGCATACGCTTGGATTTTCTCGACCTTACGAGTCATCCAACATCTCCCGCAGATCCTTCTGCACTGTGTGGCGACATAGGAAAAAGGCCGCTCTGTTTGCGTCGGTCTGGTGGTCAACGTAGGCTTTATACAACCTCTTCTTTTCGGCGAGCAGGTTGCTGATATTTGTGCCGTCGTCCTCGTCATACCAGTCCTGATGTTGGCAACGTGTGCTTCCGAAGACGTCCAAGGCAGTTGACTGGATGGCATTCCATAGTTAGCACCAGCGATTCTACACAGTGGCTTTCTCATCAGTAGTTTGCATAAGTTCCTGTCACTGCGTCAGTTGATTTCTGGAATCCAGATGATGAGGAGGAGGCAGATTCAGTGGACCAGTATGTAGCTTACCTGGTGTTTTATTATCCTGTGTGGTTGCAGTCGGAGTCATGTCTTGGGGATAACGTGACGGTGATCTGTCCAGCCGTTGGCGTCGCAGATAGTCTTGATCACCAGCACGTTCTGTCGATTTCACCTCCGGACGAGAACGTAATCCGGCAATTGTCAGCGCCGCGTTCAAGGACACACCCAGGCTGCCTTCGGCACCGGAAGGCGGAAGAAGGTGGTGGTCAGGAGGAGGAGTCGTTTTGTGCACTTTCGCAGGAGGATGAGACCGTTGTCGTTGCAATCAGCGACTCCATGGGGATTCCGCACTTCCCTCCAAACAGTGCGGTCCTCCCGACGAGGACACTTAAATCACCAACGGCAACTGTTTTGTCCGCCTACAGGGCAGTTGCCAGGAGGGCGTGCAGGTCCTCGTAGAACGTAGTATTTACTGGTCATTCGGGGGATGCGCGTAGATACTAACGTTGGTGACAAATTCGGCTTCCCAAAGAGGCAGGCGCAGGTCCACGAGACGGTCGTTGACGTCCGGCGGCAGACAGGGCAGTCATCCCACGACAACTTAAATCTTGAACGCGCCTGGTAGGCCAGATGCAAATCAATAGTTCGGTCCGTAGTGCTAATAGAAGTCCAATCGAGAAGTAAGCCTGACTGGTCCTCGGAAATTTGCCCCTTATTGGCCCAATTATCAGAAATATTGATCTGCATTCGGCCATCCATGCGCGCACAATGCCCCAGCCAGTCTGGACGGATCCTATTGCACAAGCTAACAAGCAACAAGCTCCTCTAACATTTGTCACCCCACAGCATGTTAAGACATTCAACCACAGTTCACGCGACCGGCGTGATGCGCCTACCCCCGACGCGCCCAAATAGCCGATTGCAATTCGCGCTCACAGCACAGCTGCACAGTCAATCCAAGTATGAAAGAAGGGACCACGGAAACACCGACTTTGTGCCACCCACCACAGCCGAGCGGGCGACAGGGGTCACTTGAGTCCGTCAGTTGTCAGTCACGTAAGGACCAGAGCCAATCTTGTATTTGATGCGGCTGCGATCATGTCTGATCTAGCCGGCCTCGATGATGTCCCGAACTGTACCTCTCCACGCGTGACGATCCGCGGCAGCAGATCTAGACAGCTCAACCCATTCCCTTCGCCAACGACGGAGACCGAATACCGAAGGTCCAAGAACCACCTCCATGTCTTGACGGACAGTGTCGAGCCAGGTTTTGAACTGACCCCCTCTTCGACGCCTCCAATGGGGCAACGGTGCCGGATCGAGGGCAGTAACACTGAGCTCCTGAGGTGGACGACGAAGAACATGCCCGAACCACCTCAGTCGTCTTTCTTGGATGGCCTGAGTTATCCTTGCGATGTTGTCGCAGCGAGCGCGGACTATCTCATTTGAGACGAAGTCGGTTAACTTCACTCGAAGGATGATCCTCGAGCAGTGGTGGTCAAATACCTCCAGTTTTCGCTCATCCTCCACGAGCAAAGCCCAGCATTCACAACCATAGAGAAGGACAGACCGGACAGATGCACGGTACACGCGAATCTTAGTGGCGATGGAGAGGTCACGTCGGTTCCACAGGCATTTCCGAAGGCTTGAAAAAACCCAGCGGGCAGCATCGATTCGGGAGACAATGTCGTCCTTACTCTGTCCATTAGGCAGCAGCCTCGCCCCGAGGTATTTAAAACTGTCCACTTCTTCAAGTTGACAGCCATCAATCCCCAGGGGTGCCTTCTCCTGGTCAGGGATGCAGCTTAAGAATACTTTGGTCTTCCCAGCGTTTATGGACAAACCGACTGATTTAGCGACCTCGTTTAGCCGTGACACCATAGACTGCAGATCACCAAAACTTGAAGCAAGTAAGGCGATATCATCGGCATAGTCGAGATTAGTCAGTCGATGTCCGGGTGCAAATTTAACGCCGTCACTGTCGCGTAGGGCCCTCCCGAGGATCCAGTCAATAGCGTAGTTGAACAGTATGGGTGACAGGATATAACCCTGTCGGACGCCAGACCGAATACCGAACGGTTGGGAAAGATTGTTACGAACCAGGACTATCGCAGTAGTGGAGCGATAGTAGGCCTTGATCATGGCGATGATTTTTGCCGGTACACCATCTAGCGCCATTATCCGCCACAGGGACTCACGGTGAACGGAATCGAACGCGGCGGCAAAGTCAACGAAGCAGACGGCCGTCGGTTGTTGGTAGCTATGGCGAAATTCGAGAATGTGCCTCAGTGTGAATATCTGATCTGCGCATCCACGTCCAGCACGAAATCCGGCTTGGTTGGGCCTCGTCCTTGAGTCACGCACAGGCTGGAATCGCCTAAGTAGGACAATAGCGAAGATCTTCGCAGCAACGTCGATGAGACTTATGCCGCGGTAGTTCTCGCATCTCGCCTTATCTCCCTTCTTGAGGATAGGTACAAGGATGCCTAAGCCCCAGTCATCAGGAACAACCTCGTCTCTCCACGCTCGTTCAATCACCTCATGGAGCCAGGGCGCCAGAGTGCCGACACAAGACTTAAAGATTTCAGCGGGTATACCGTCCTCTCCGGGTGCCTTATTGTTGCGCAACTTTCGTATGGCATCGGCGACTTCTTCCTCGGAGGGGGGGTTCGCATGGCACTGCATAGGTAGGAGAGGGAAGAAACTCCGCTGAAGAGGAGAGCAAGGGCGATGTAGGTTGGGTATCGAAGTTGAGATGGTGCTCAAAGAGCTCACGCCAGCGCTCGACTTTGGCCGAGTTGTCAGCAATAAAGCCGCCGTTCACATCGCGAACAGAGTCACTCAGTGTAGAGGGCTTACCGCTAACTTGGCGGATCAGACGGTAGAGCTTTCGAGTGTCACCAACGTTCGAGGCCAATCTTTAGCCGGGAGGCAAGTCAGAATTCGCACGTCTGTCATGCCCCTGTAACACACCACAGACTGAACGGGTTGTTTGAGTGGAGTGGAGGACACTGAGGCGCGGACCTCGGGTGGGAACGGTGTGACGGAGTATCAGTGAAAAAACTTAAAGCATCCGACAGGGCAACAGGCTCGTGGTCCGGTGAGTAGAGGCGTTGACTTCTACACCAACAGGTCGCGAGTTCGAGGCTCGGGTGTTCCACACTTCGGGCTTGGGTATGGCTGGCTGACGACGGCTAATAAGCCAGAAATGGCCATTCCAGTCTCCCTTGTCTTTGTCGGTAATATCATTCTGCCTATATATCATGCGCCGCTGCGCGGCTACTGGTTGGGCTCGAGAGAGAGCCCTTAAGGCACAACGGAACAAGTGAGTTCCGTATGAACGATCGGTGAGCGCCCCCTAACATTGTATATTCCCGATCGAAAACCGACAGGACAACGGGCTCGTGGTCCGGTGAGTAGAGGCGTTGACTTCTAAACCAACAGGTCGCGAGTTCGAGGCTCGGGTGCTTCACACTTCGGGCTTGGGTATGGCTGGCTGACGACGGCTAATAAGCCAGAAATGGCCATTCCAGTCTCCCTTGTCTTTGTCGGTAATATCATTCTGCCTATATATATATATATATATATATATATGAGATGGAGCCGACAAAGACAAGGGAGACCGGAATGGCCATTTCTGGCTTATTAGCCGTCATCAGCCAGTCATACCCAACCCCAAGTGTGGATCACTTGAGATTCGAACCCGGGATATTTGGTCATGGAGTTTGACGCTCTACCATTGAGCCACGGGCCCGTTGTCCTCTCGGTTGTGATCGGGAATATCAATTATGACAGTGGACGTTCACCGATCGGGTTGCGGAACGTTACGGAACCGACAGGACAGGAAAGATGCGCGCTCACACGTCGCCATGCACAGTCTGGAAAATGACCACCGGTTTGACTTTGACGGCGCCCACGTGCTCGGCCGAGCGGAAAACAGACTGGCGCGAGAAATAATCGAGGCCTGGCAAACAGACGCCAACTCCATCAACCGATGCGTCGACCTACCGGCACCATACGAGGCCGCCAAGCACCACCTACGCACCAGGGGAGGCCCAATGAGGATAGAAATTGATGGCCCTATCAGGCACGAGCGAGAGGGACCTATTTAAACCGTGTAATTTTCTAATATTTCCTATCTCCGATGATGCGCTCGAGTATGAGTGTGAAACGTCAGATGAATAAATCATCATCCCCAGAGCTCGCCTTACCATCTTCTTCAATTTCAACACCTGGGGTCAGCATTTTCGCCTACATCCATGAGAATTCCGGGCGCGAAGCGCTTCGCCGAGCACGGCATTGGGAAATATTTTCGTGTAGACAGGGATCTACACGGGAACAATTGGTCTTTCTACACAACTGCCTAAGGTCAGACATCATGCCGAGGAGTGTTTCTGTGAGACCACCAGCTAAGACCGATTTCGGTCGGGAGGTCGCCATGAGCTGCAGCCGACGCTTACTACGAACCCTCATCAACGAATGTCATATTCGTCTGGGAAAGTACGGCAGAGAAATCGAAAGGGAGAAAGCAGCATGTGCATCACACCTGGAGGATCAAACACTGCAAAACCTGGAGAGCTGGATCTCGATAAAGGTGAACGTAGAGCGAGGGAAGAAGAGGGTCCAACTCCTGAACAAAATGCGTACCCTACAGCATGCAGATGCAGCTATGTCAGAACCACCGTCCGTCCACAACCTCTCATCCAAACAGCTGACAGACGACCAGATTAAAGTGCTTCAGCACGAATCTGGATACAACACAGGTGACGCGCAGCCACTGGATTTTATTGCGGCATTGGAAGCGACACTCGCAAAGACAGATACCACAGAAGACTCCAAGAACTCCATTCGCCAGCGAGTGTCATCGCTCATCATATCCCACAAGCCACGTCGGACCATCTCCTCGGCCGAATTAAAGGCCATTAGGGAATTAAAGATGGACGAAGAAATAGTCATTGTTCCAGCGGACAAAGGACGGGCAACCGTGATCTTGGACAGATCAGAGTACGTCGCAAAAGCCCAGGAACTACTAGACGACAACCAGTCATACAGAGTCGTCAACTCTGACCCCATAAAAACACTGGTAGGCAAAATTAACAAGGGCTTAAATCAGATGAGGAGCCAAAAGGCGATGTCTGAAAACGATTGGAGACAAATGAGACCGCAAGATGTCGCTCCAGCGCGTTTCTACGGTTTGCCAAAAATCCACAAGCCAAATGTCCCCCTACGACCCATCGTAGCGCTAAAAGGCACACCTACCTACGGACTGGCTAAATGGCTTACCAAGCACTTAAAGAAGCTGACGGAAGGCTCCGAACACACAGCCGCCTCCTCAACGCACTTCCTAGAAAAAGTCCGAGGCGTTACAATAGCCCCCGATGAGATCATGGTATCCTTTGACGTCGTCTCTTTGTTCACCTCCATCCCTAAGGAGTTAGCCATGAGAGTCATCAGTGACCTACTGGAACGAAAGTACGACGATGACGAAAAACCGTTTAAAAGGAAGCACGCGATTGAGTTACTGGACCACTGCTTATGCACGTATTTCACTTTTAACGGCCATACTTATGAGCAAATCCAGGGAACCCCGATGGGATCCCCGATCTCCGGCTACCTGGCTGAGGCGGTACTACAGGAACTGGAAACTCGTGTATTTCGGTCCCACAAGCCAAAATTCTGGATGCGCTATGTGGACGATACCTTTGTCGTCCTACACCGAGATGCGAAGGAGGCCTTTAGAGGAGAATTAAACTCCATCTTCCCACAAATCCAATTCACAATGGAGGAAGAAAAGGACGGAACGCTCTCTTTCCTCGACGTGCGGGTAACGAGGCAGGAAGATGGAATCCTCCAGACCGGTGTTTTCCGAAAAACTACAAACACAGAGAAAATACTTTACTACAACAGCAACCATCCGCTGTCGCATAAACGCCCGAGGACCGGCTACCACCTGCAGACACGTCAGGCGTCATTTACCGCGTCAAATGTCTGGACTGTCCAGCCAACTACTGTGGCATGACCGACAAACGCCTAAGAACGCGCATGCATGAGCACACTTTGGCCGTAAGGCGAAAGGACGTACTATCGCATGTTGCCATGCACTGTCTGGAAAACAATCATAAGTTCGACTTTGACGGCGCCCAGGTGCTCGGCCGAGCCGAAAGCAAACTGGCGAGGGAAGTGATCGAGGCCTGGAAATCAGACACGAACTCTATCAACCGAAGTATCGATTTGCCAGCGCCATACGAGGCCGTCAGGCACCATCTACGCGCGAGAGGGGGGCCAACGAGAAGCGAACGGGACGAACCTATCGGGTGAGAGTGCAGATGGCCTATTTAAACCCTGTATTTCTCACTTAGCCTATCTCCGAAGATGTGCTCGAGTATGAACACGAAACGTCAGATGAATAAACCTTCTTCCCCAGAGATCGCCTCATCCTCCTCTTCCATATTAACACCTGGGGTCAGCATTTTTGCCTATATCCATATATATATATATACATATATATATGGAAAGGTAATACCGACAAAGACAAGGGAGACCGGAATGGCCATTTCTGGCTTATTAGCCGTCATCAGCCAGTCATACCCAACCCCAAGTGTGGATCACTTGAGATTCGAACCCGGGATCTTTGGTCATGGAGTTGAACGCTCTTCCATTGAGCCACGGGCCATGGGCGCACACCGATCTATTGGCTTCACAAAGCAAACAAGCTCCGTATGTGTGGCAAAGGTCACGAACAGGCAACCAATTACCAGGCCGAAGTCGGCCAAGTCATAATAGCAGCGAGGAGGGACGACAGAGAATGCGGGTAGATTGATACAGCACTGTTTCGGGCTTATTCTGCCTTCATTCAGCCAATCATAACCCTGACCACCAGCAGCTGAGACCAGAAACACAAACATGCGCACAGACGCACCTGGCGCAGTCGGTCCACCACTGAGGCCTACCAGATGGGTCATAAGCACTTCATCGAACCGAAGTTCATCAGTGCCTCGCCACCTGTCATTCTCTGTCGCTGCAGATCGGGTATTTATCAATCAGGAATGGGCGCACACCGATCTATTGGCTTCACAAAGCAAACAAGCTCCGTATGTGTGGCAAAGGTCACGAACAGGCAACCAATTACCAGGCCGAAGTTGGCTGGTGGTCAGGGTTATGATTGGCTGAATGAAGGCAGAATAAGCCTGAAACAGTGCTGTATCAATCTACCCGCATTCTCTGTCGTCCCTCCTCGCTGCTATTATGACTTGGCCGACTTCGGCCTGGTAATTGGTTGCCTGTTCGTGACCTTTGCCACACATACGGAGCTTGTTTGCTTTGTGAAGCCAATAGATCGGTGTGCGCCCATTCCTGATTGATAAATACCCGATCTGCAGCGACAGAGAATGACAGGTGGCGAGGCACTGATGAACTTCGGTTCGATGAAGTGCTTATGACCCATCTGGTAGGCCTCAGTGGTGGACCGACTGCGCCAGGTGCGTCTGTGCGCATGTTTGTGTTTCTGGTCTCAGCTGCTGGTGGTCAGGGTTATGATTGGCTGAATGAAGGCAGAATAAGCCCGAAACAGTGCTGTATCAATCTACCCGCATTCTCTGTCGTCCCTCCTCGCTGATATATATATATATATATATATATATAATGTTGGGGGGCGCTCACCGATCGTTCATACGGAAGTCACTCGTTCTGTTGTGCCTTAAGGGCTCTCTCTCGAGCCCAATCAGCAGCCGCACAGCGGCGCATGATACATAGGCAGAATAACATTACCGACAAAGACAAGGGAGACTGGAATGGCCATTTCTGGCTTATTAGCCGTCGTCAGCCAGCCATACCCAAGCCCAACAAGGCAACGGGCTCGTGGCCCGGTGAGTAGAGGCATTGACTTCTAAACCAACAGGTCGCGAGTTCGAGGCTCGGGTGTTCCACACTTCGGGCTTGGGTATGGCTGGCTGACGACGGCTAATAAGCCAGAAATGGCCATTCCGGTCTCCCTTGTCTTTGTCGGTAATGTTATTCTGCATATATAAAAATATATATTTATGACAGTGGGCGCTCGCCGATCAGGTTACGGAACATGCTCGTTCCGTTGTGCCTTGGGGCTCATACTTAAACCCTCGCAGGCAGTCGCACAGCGACTAGTAGTAGACATAGATGAGATGATACCGACAAAGACAAGGGAGACCGGAATGGCCATTTCTGGCTTATTAGCCGTC